TGATTAAATTCGCTTATTCTTAATCCTTTTTTAATAAAATAACTTCACTTTTCAAATTTTCTAATTCATTAAATTAATCTCTCAAACTTATTTTATCATTTTCATATTTTGTGATTTCATTAAAATGTTTAGCTTCTAATTCCCTAATTTAATCTCTTTACTTTTTTTCTAATTCTTCCATTTAATCTTCATATTGTTCCTAAACTGTTATTCTAATTGACTCTTTATATTCATTTAATTATGATTTCAAAGCTAATATTTCTGCTTCCTACTATACAATCCTTCTTTAAGCCTTATCAAATTCTTCAATTTATTCTCGAGCAATTTAAAAAGAATTTTTCATTTCTTAAAATGTTAAATTTAAATCTGCTACACTTTTACCATCATCTAATGTGGATTAATTTAAGAAACTTCCATGAAATGAATTTTAAACCCTACCATCTTATTCAGTTCTCAATTCTAAAATTTATTAATCTTTTAAATCAATTTCTTCTTAAAGTTTTTTTATTTTTTCTTGTAATAACTATTTATCAGCCTTTTATTTTTCTAAAGATTTAGTTAATTGTTATATTTTTTCTATCTCAGCATTTAATTTTAAATTTTCAGCTTGTTTCTCATGTAATTCATCTCTAATTTATTCATATGCTTATTTCCATTTTGTCTTCTCTTCTTCTAGTAATTTTATTTTACGAGTATCTACATTCATTAATAAACTAGGTTATTCTTATTATTATTATTGCAACTATTTGATTTCATCTATCTTCACTTATAACAATATTTTTGAATCATTTAATTATTTTTAAAGGTCAGTAATTTTATTATTCAATAATTAAACTGTATTTTTTTAAAAATCATGAGTACTTTCTTTCTCCTTTTCTTTTTAATCCTCTACTACTATTATTACATCATCCTCCTCTTTGGTTTAATTTAATTATCTATTGACAACTTTAGCAATTTCCTCCTTTGAGAATTATGCTTTATCATCTTTAATAATATCTTTTATATTTTCTGCCTTCACTTTCTATTCACTTTATACTTCTTATTAAATTTAGCAATTTCCAAACCAAGGATGTTCTCTCATTTTTTGAATATTAAATCTCTTCTATGGATCCCTTTACAGTAATCCTTATACCAAACTTTTCGCTAATGATGGGAAATCGTTTGGAAAATTGATTTTAACTTTTAAAATATTATCCTCAAGTATTTTTTGGGATTCTTTTTGATCTTTAATTTATGATGAAGGAGCAAAAGGTGCTTTTCCTGTTAATAATTCATAAATTAAGACTCCTAAACTCCAATGATCAATTTTTTCATCATGACCACATTCTAAAATCATTTCTGGTGCCAAATAATCTAATGTACCACAATATGTTGTTCTTTAATGATTATTGATATTAGACCATCCAAAATCAGCTATTTTAATATGTCCATTTGCATCTAAAAGTATATTTTCTGGTTTAATATCTCTATGAATAATAGGAGGATTTCTCGTATGCAAATATTCTATTGCTGACATGACTTCCTACATAAATTGTTTGACTGTCTTTTCATCAAAACGACCTACTCGATTCAACTTTTACCATAACTACCCTCCTGTTGCACATTCTAATATCAAATAAATATAATCCTCTTCTTCATAATGATTGTATAATTTTACAATATTTGGATGTTCTAATCCATACATTATTTTAACCTCATTAATGATTTGTTAAGTCATTTTCTATTGTTTTATTTACTTTTTTGCTATTTATTTCAGAGCAAAAATCATTTTAGTTTTTTTATGCCTAACTTTGAATACTTTTCCGAATGCCCCTTATCCCAATCCTTAAATTACTTCGAAATCTTAAGTGCAAGCTTCTCTTTCCATTTTTCCCTACACTGTTGGTGAGAAAAAGAGTATTCTCTCTTTCACTTGATTAATCACTAAGCCAGTCGACATTTATTCTTCGGAAAATTTATTATTACATAATATATAATCATTAAAAAGATTTCTATATTTATTACTGTATTATTCATCACTATCTAAGTTTTACATTTGTTAACAAAAAATGTTGATTTAAAATACACAATTAATTTCATTTACATTCATACCAATTATTTCCAATTTTAGCATCAACTTCTAAAGGTAATTCTAGTTAAATCTCAAAAGGATTTTCCATTAATTCTTTTACAATCTTTAAAGCTTACTAAGCATTTTCTTCTGGACCTTCCTATATTAATTTAAAAATAATAAATTACTAGAATTAATTCATCATGAACTTGTAAAAGCAATTTATAACCTAAATCCTTCAATGATTAATTTTTATATATTTTAACCATTGCTGCAATTACTATATCTGCAGCTCCTCCTTAAATAGGAGTATTTATTGCTGCTCTTAATCCATGATTAATATAAGATCTAGTTTATTACTAAAAGTATTTTTCCAAGTATCTATATCTTCCTAACAGAGTTTATGTAAAAAATTAATTTTTTGCTATCATTCTTACATTATATTGCCATTGTTCCTAAATTACATAAACATAATACCACTTCTTTTCTCTAAGCAAACCAGGCATCTATTGTTTTTTAGGCTTCCTTGACTTCACATTACCAATCCTTTGCAAATCCAGTTGCAGTCTTACCATATGCAATTGAAAAGTTCAACACTTTTGCCTTTCTTCTCTCCGCTGCATATTTATCTTTTACTAATGGAGCTGGTGCTTTTCCTTTCTATTTGTCCCATTCTATTAATAATTCTCCTTTATCAATTTCCTCCTGAATATGAGGAAACATTGTCTTAAAAAGATTAATAATAATATCATTACAATAACAGTTCGAGAATGAAAATCTCCTCCTTTTAGAAATGCATCAATCATAGCTTTACATTTAGTCATATGTGCTAATACTCTCAATTCTAATTGACCATAATCTGCTACAATTAACTTGTTCCCCTTTTTGGCTATAAAGGATTTTCTTATTTTATATCTATCTTTCTCTAATGCAGGTTAATTTAATAAATTTGGATTTCTAGAACTTAATCTTCCAGTTTCTGTATTAATATTAATACTGGTATGAATACGACCAGATGGATCTGTTAATTCAATTAATGGAATAATAAAAGTATGTAATAAAACTTCTATACTTTTTAATTCTAATAAATCATTTATTGCCAAGCATGCATCAATACCTTTTTAAGGTTCACCCTTACCAACAAAATGATGATATATTAATCCATATTGTTATTTTTCTACATCACCAGCTAATTACTTTAGAGCATTATAATCAGCTTATGGCATTCCACTAGGAGTGTAACTTAAAGGTTCTATTCCTAGACCCTTGATATGCATTTCAGTATATTTTAAAGGAGTTCTCTGGTTCTCCTTAATAATTTAATGTATGTTATCAATCTAGAATGATTTTACTTCAGGCAAGTCTTCAACTTCTTTACGAATTGATTTTTTTCTTCCATCTGATAGATATTCATCTTCTTCCTCCTCTTCTTTCATCATTTAAGGTGTTTTTTTTGTTTACTGTTTTTTGCAAGGGGCAAAAAATAATTATTATAATTATTATGTACTACTACAATTAAATTAAGACACATCTCCCTCTTAAGTAGTCTAAACCCATTTAATAAAATTTTATTCATATTGTTTCATGTCTTCCTCAGCTTGTAACTTAATATTTTTCACATGATCCATATCAACTTGCATTCCTTCCCTCTCTAACTCTGTTAATATTTCACCTAAAGAATTCCAATATTTGCTGTAGATATCCCCTAAACAATTAATTCCAAACTCACTTTTTTTTGTTTGAAAATCAGGGTCTGTTGGTTTTAAATTATAAAATATTTTGGTTTTATTCAATAAGTCTTTTAAAGTGAGACATAAAAAATATGTAATTTCTGAATCTAAAGTAGAATATTCAATCCACTAATTAATATATTGAGGCAGACAATGCATTTATAAAATTTTAGGATATACTTTTAATTTACTAACTTAACCATTTTTTAATTCTTTATTTTATCCAAATATTTATTTCATACTAGTTTTAAGATTGATATCGAGTAGATGATCTTTAAATAATTAGAGACTACTTCTTTCTTCATCTGTTAAATTTGGTTTTTTCAATAAACATTCCATTCTTTTAATTTTAACTAATTTTATTTCTTCTTCATAAGCTAATGATAATTTAGCTAAACTGTATTCTTAAGGCTATTTTGAAGGATCTAATAATCTGGCCATATGCATTGTATCCCCAAAAAAGCCTCTAACATTAATTCCATGATTGCCAAAAATATGTTTATCAAAACCATAATTATGCCATATTTTTAATATCTTTTCATCCTCAAAATATTCTTTAAACAACATTATTAAATCACTATTCTAAGCAAAGTTATCTATAAACAATCTTGGACCATTCCCAAAATTTACTTCAGGACCTGCAAATGCACTAGCACAAATCAATTTTCCTCTATTAATTGGAGTCTCACTTTTAACATCTATATCTATAGTTTCTGTATCCCATGCATGAGGTTATTTTTTGTATTTATTTAATATATCTATAACTCTTTTTGCATCATTAATATTTTTGACAATTGTTACCCCAGGTTATTCTTTTACATCTTCAATTGTTTTATTGTAATAGGAGCGATATAAATCATATTCTGGTGTTTTCGAACTACCTCCGATTCTACTCTTAAGAGATGTTATGCTATTGATTTAAGCAAATTTACAAAATCTAAATTTTATCATAAAATTATAATCACATTTAATTATATCAATCTAATTTATAACTATTTATTATTATTCAATAGTTCTTAAAATAGTCATGTAACTATAAATACATCATAATAGACAATTTTATTCTTTAAAGTATATTTTTCTTAAGTAAATCATTTTGTTATTATTAAATTAATACTTCATCATAATCCAAACATTAAGTATTAATATTATGAAATAACATAATATAGAATATGAATAGTGCCTCTTCTAGTGTAAAACGAAGAAAAAATAATTTATAGGAAAAGAGAATAGATTTATATATGTGTTTGAAGATTGTTTGATAATAAATAGAAACCAAAACAAAGGTGATCCTTCAAGAGTGATTATGTTTGAAAATTTAATTCGAGTTAAATGGAACTATTCAATTAACTCTAAAACATTCAAAACCTTTCTGAAAAGTTTTACTTTAATTACGAATAAAGAATAACTTAAATATTATGCAGATTTTGAGATGCTTATTGCTTTAAAAAAGATATTATAGAAATTTGTTTAATAAAGTAGTATTGAAGATGAATATGAAACGCAGTAGGTATTGGGAGAGGGTAGTTATGCTGTAGTATTTTAATTAAAGAACATTTTTACAGGATAGGAATATGCTGGAAAGTGTATAGAGAAAAAAAAACTGGATAAAATTGATAAAGGGTTAAAGGCAGTGATGAATGAGATAGAAATTATGAGAATTTTAAGTCCACATGCTTAAATAGTTAATTTACATGAAGTTTATGATGGAGAAAATAGTATAAATTTAGTTTTGGATTTATGTTCTGGACAAAATTTGTAAGCAGAATTAACAAAACGGAATTCAATGTTGGAAGATTCAGAAGTTAAAATTGTAATTATTTTTCATCAATTTTAGATTATTCATCATCTTCTTTTAGCAGTTGAATATATACATAGTAAAGGTATTATGCATAGAGATTTAAAACCAGAAAACATACTATTTTAGAGACCATAAGATTTTACAACATTGAAAATAGGTGATTTTGGACTTTCTGCAATATAGACTGATGCTCCTTATCTTTATCCTAAATGTGGTACTCCAGGATATGTTGCTCCAGAAAGTAAACTTTATGTATTAATTAGAGTAAAGTTGCCAATTTAGTTGAAAAAGATAAAGAATATAGTAGAGTTTGCGATATATTTAGTTGCGGGGCAATATTTCATTTGCTTTTGTTAGGAGAGGGAGTTTTTCCTGGTAAAGGACATCTAGAATTACTCAAACTTAATAAAGAATGTAATATTAATCCAGAAGATAAGAGATATAATGCTTTAACAATTGAGTAGAAAGATCTATTGTAAGATCAATTAATATTATGAGATTTAAAATGTTAAAGACTAATCCTTAACATCGCCCTTCTGCCAAAGAATTACTAAACCATCCATATTTCACAAATTAGAAGTTAAATGCTGTTGGAATATTTAGCATGAATATCATAAAATATGAAGAAGATAATACTTTAGTCATGTAGGATTTAATTCATTCTCCAACAAAAGTTGGATTAGAAAAAAGATTTTCATTTTTATAAATGAGCAATGAAAGAAATACTCCTTTGAAAATTATATGATAAAAATAATTATACTTTTCATATGTGAATCATTCCATTTATATGATTATTTATTATAATCAATTTTATTATAAGTGATTTTGCTCTTAAATTATGGAATCTTTAGCTCAATAAATTAAGGCATTATAATAGAAAAATCAAGAGCTTTCTTAATTAGAAAATAGACTAGTTTAGATAAAATAATAGTTAAAAATGCAAGAATCGAATAATCATATAATATAATTGAAAGTTAACAAAATATTGGAAACTAAGGAAAGCACATATATGGATTAAAGAGATGTATTTATAATTTGTAATTTAAGTTCTTGAAATAACTTGAATAATCTCAAAGCCAAAAAGATGCCAATCATAATCGTATTCGTTTAATGAAGTAAACATAAGTAGATGAAACGATGAAAATGAAATAATAATTGTCAGAGGATAAACTATTGAGAACTCTTACTTAAAAATAAAACTCTTAGATTCTATAATATCAACTTAAAAAAATAAAAGACCAGGAGTTATATAATAAGTAATAGTAATTTAACAAAGTAATTTTGACATTAGAGTTTATTTTAGATTTCAGAATGGGAATTTTAACTGAAATAAGATCTTGAATACAAGAAAAATGAAAAAATTGAAAAAATTAGAGCAGAATAATAATAATATAAAGCTTAATTATCATAAAAGTTAGAATAATAATAAAAATATTATCAAAAACTATAAGATGAAGAATAATAATTATTGAGGTAATTTTGTAGTATAAACAAGCTAGTAAATTACATAATTCATAATCAATTGCTTAAAATCTAAAATAAGACTTAAGCTAGGCATAAAGCCTTAGCATAAAATTTTACAACAATTCATTGACTACCATCTCTTCCTCTATCAAATCATATAGTGTACCAAAATTAACAAAGAAATAATTAGAAAGTCCTTATGCTCAAATACCAGCAATTCTTAAAATAAAAATCAATAAGTATTACTAATTTAAATAGTAGAGAAAAATCGTATGGTGGTAATGAAAATTTCTTTCCTTGCATTGAAAAACCGAGTTATTATGATTAATAAAAATATATGGAAAGACTTTATTAATCTAAAAATTAGATTTCAATTAGTTAACAACAAGAATTTCAAGTTTAAAAACCAGGGATCTAATAATTAAAGTAGACAAATTCTTCTCATTTTGAATCCTAAAGTCATAATCACAATAGCAATAGAACAAAGTTTTTAAGTTCAACTTAAACTGGAAAATAGAAAGATTTTGGTACTATAACAAAAATGACCGAGACAAATAGATCTAATACTTAAAAGAATAACATTAATTAATAAAAGGAAACCTCAGAATAACAAGAACAGAAAAAGATAGAAAATACCTTAAATAATTCAAAAGATATCATAAAAAAAGAAGATAAATTAGAAAAATAATAAAGTCGAAAATAAGAAAAAGAATAGCCTCCTTAAAAAGAACGTGAGGAAGTTGAAGAAAATTATGAAGATGAGAATTATGAAGAAGAATTTAATTAAGAATAGGAATAAGAGTAGTAAGAAAATGAGCATCAATCCGAATAAAAAGATAATAATGAATATTAAGAGGAAGAATAATAATGATATGAATTCAATATAAATATATTAAATAGTTTGTTTTAAGATACAAATAATGTAAATCATATAAATAATGTACATATTCTTGCAACTATTGTCTAAATTGGTTAATAAATAAGCATAGCTCCTAATTAATATTCTTTTGCATTGATATCTATACTATCTTTATGTAATTGCCAATTTAACTCTAATAATATTACTATAGTATAAGCAACAAAAACAAATGATATTCCTATCAAATAAGTTATAACTATAGCTTAGAATTGCATAATAGCAAATTAAATCTAACTTATAAATATTATAATTGGGCAAATCATCATAAATAGAAACGCCTTTTTATTTTCTATATTTTCCTTCTTTATGAAAGAATAGGCTTCTAATCCAATTCCAATTCCTGTGAACATACTGAGAGAAATGCACAATAAATATTCTTTTAATTTAATTTTGTTGATATTAGTTTCATCTTCTTACATTACCATAAAGCTTGTCAGGCCAATTAGGAATAAAGAGTAGAAAAAGATATCAATGACTACTAAGACCCATTTAATTATCTAGATATCAATTAAGATATACATAATTAATTCTACGATGAAATATTAATACCAATGGGTATAATATAAGAGAAAAGGTTAAGCTCACCCAAAATAAAGCAGAAAATGAATAATCTTGTCCATTGTATTTAATTAAAAAGTGTGAAAAGCATTAAGGTTTATATCCACATCCAAACATTAATGAAATTTGTAAAGCAAGGATTATAATTGAAAATATTGATGATATTTATTTAAGATATTTTAACTTGATCTCATAACTTGCAATACTTAAATCATTTTAACCATTTTGATTTTTTATTATTGATTTAATCAAGTTAACTAATAATTAAAATTAGACTCCTAACAACATACAACATAATACTTAAATTTCATCAAAAGTAAACTATTTAATTATTTTAATTTACCTCTTTTTATAATTTTTATTTTTAAGTGATTTGTAACATATAGGAGCTCAACCAAGTTATAATCATAGTAACAAAAGTTTAAAATAATGGTGAATATATTCCAACAAAAATATTCAATATGAATTCAATAGAAATTGGAGTAATTAACACAATCAACCAACATTCTATATATTTATACTAGATGATATAATTACCTTCTCCTTAAAAATGAGTGCTCGTCATATTTGAATAAAAATTAAGTAATAAGATTACACCTCCTATTTACAAATAAATTCTCCATAATTAATCCTCAAAATTCACACCTAATAGTGTCCAAATAAAAATAAATGCAAAACTCCCACAACTTAAGTATATTACACTTACTATTGTATTCCATATTTTTTTATTTTAATGATCTACCACAGAAGTACTGTATTCGAAATAAAAATGGCATAGTTGGCAAATGATCATTAAGATCCAAAATATCCATTATTTATCATATAAAAAAATATATTTTCCCAAAAGAGAAACTCCACAAAAACACTAAGATTAAAGAATTATTTTTACAATATATTCTAAGAGGAGAAGGGTGTATGTTTTACGAATAAAGGTATTTCTATAATCATCTAAACTTATACTAAAAGATATATTCTTTAAATACCCATTTTTATCAAGAAAACTCTTTTGCATCGATAATATTTCCATATAACTCATCTTTTATAATTTGATATTATATATTTATGAAAATAAATAAATATTTTTTATACCATAAATTTGTGATGGTTTCTCATTTAGCTTCATTCTTTATCAATTCTACTATATCGGATCTACAATTTGGACACTTTCTACTATTGACCAGCCAAGATTTACAACAATTTTCATGAAATATATGTTTACACGGAAGCTACATAATTGATTCATCTTTTTTATAATAATTACTCTATACCTTTATGGAACTCATTGCAACATATGCTACATTTCTTATTTGATTTACCCATTTTCATTCGTTTAATCTTTTCCATAAAATTTTTAGGAACTCCATTGCTTTTATGATAAACTTTGTTCAAATTATTCTCCCATAATTATTGTTGCAATTACTAATTTGTTAGATGCTATTTTTACTTATATTTCTTGTTAATATCCTCGAGCAACTAAAATAATAATAATAAGTTTTACTTTGTTCCCAAAACCTAATCTAAATTATATCACTTTCTTCCTTTTATTAGTTCTCTTATATTTAACAATTTTTACTCCCTTATTCTTCACCAATTAATAAATTCATTTTCTTTATGTTTTAGTTATTGTCTTTAAATTTTGTTCGATAATTATTTAAATTAATCTTTGTTAATGATTATATCAAGTATTATATACTATTAAAATAAGTAATTTTTAAATACTTTTGTTCTGTCTTTAATTGTTTTATTGATATTCCCTCTTATAATATTATTTCTTAAATAATTTAGAACTGAAAATTTAGAATTAGAGGAACAAGAAAATTCTGGAATAATGGTATTTATAAATTAATTACACCTACAAAATTAATAAAAAAATTATTACTGCATATAATAATTTATTAATTTTGTTTGATTTTTTTTCATGCTTAACATTAATAAATATTAGATATAACCTTAACAACTAAAATATTTACAGATATATTGTTTCAAATAATCGATTCAAATGGAGCATCTATACTTTTACTGTAATTTCTTAAATAAATATTGCATTTCCAATCATCCAAATTTTATACCTCAATTTCCAGTAGAAATAATGCTCCATTTCTTGCATATATTGCAGGTTATAGACCATCAGTGTTTTTAATATTTTGGTGTTTGTACAAAAATTAGATTGCTTCAGTTATGAATCCAGCATGACTTATTGCCAATATATTAGTTGAACTTGAAGATTTTTAAGATGAACTAAATTATTAAGCCTAATGTATATAAGATCTCATTATGTGATGAGAATAATGAGGTTCAGCGACTTAAGAACTCATTATCATTTTATTTAATGAATCAAGGGGTAACTATTAGTGTTAAATAATTAATTACATTTTAAAATGATTGTTAATATAGTTATTGTGTGATCAATTAATTAAAGAAACCTTAGGCCCTAATTTATATCTCTTCTGATGTTTCTGCATTATTTTCTCTGTCTATCATTGTTTAACTTTAAAGAGGGTACACCTCAGCATAGGATTTCAACAGATCATTTCCAGGATCTCTTTCTCTTAAAATTGGTGTATAGATCACATGTGAAGGTTTATGCTTTAGTTCATTTTCAATTATTTAATAGGATTCAATACATCTAAATTTCTGGTATTTATTACCTTTTAAAATCACTTGAATAGACATAATCAAATCTGATTGATGATAATTTTCTACCAATGTTTTTTGATTGCACTTTTCCTAATCCACTCAATCCATATTCATTCATTCCAGATACAATTTTTAAACTCTGATATAATGATTGTCCATGTCTTATCAAAAATATTCGAATCATAAATTTTGTATTTATTTTAATATTTATTTATACGGTAAATATTATTCATTACTTCTTTGGTGGAGGAGGTGGTCCTCTTCTTTGTGGAGCTGGAGGAGGAGGAACTCCTTTTCCTTGTTAAGTTTGTTGCTTAATCTCTTAAACAGCATTTTGTTATGTTCTTTAATTCAATATTTATTATTAATTATTTTATTATTACTACTCTTGTTGCCACTATTATTATTAAGCTATTTATTGCTAATGTTATTATTATTAAAAAGGCTACTAAGGTAATGTTTATTATTAATTCGATTAAATTTATTATGGTTAAGGAGGAGGAGGAGGAGGTGGTGCTACATGATGTTTAGGAGGAGGCTAAGTAGGTGGAACAATTTAAGGCTATTATTCTTATCTAAATGGTTCTTAAACAAAAGGTGGAGGTTATATATTTTATGGTTCTTATTTCTTAGGTTAATTTGGTGGAGGAGCAGTTTTCACTGGTGGAGCAGGTTTCTGCACTTGTCTTCTATTTGGAGGAGGTACTCTAAATAATAAATTTTTAATTTACGGATCATCTACAACTTTTGCAACATTTGGACCGAAAGGATTATTTATTGCAGCTGTATTTGAATTAGGATTTTATTACACTTACTATCTTACATTATGATCTTCTTAATGTTAATGTTAATTCACAGCTGGTCTTGTAGGTCTGGATACAGGTTAATTAGGAGCATGAACAGGTTAGGCTTATGTTTATTTAACTATTCCCATTTTAATTTATTCATATTTGAATGGGAAAGCTGGCTTCTCCATGATTTTCTGAATAATATTTCTATCTTTATGATTTCCTTTGTAGAGTAGGTCTAATAATTCTAGGGCTCTCTAACAATCAGGAGAGGAAAAATTGAGAGCATAAGCAGCTGATAAATATTAGTTATGCTAAATTGCATAATTTGCAAATTTTAAAATTAAACCATCAAAAAGGCGATCGAATACATCACTTTCTGTGAGTGAGTATTCTTGAATCACAATTAAGAGCTTTATTGCTTCTGTTAATTCTTTTAATGAATTATTATGATTAACTAATATCTTTATGCATTTTTCACCATTCATAGCTAGAATATAACATTAAAGAGCATTGAATTCATCTTTTCTTTCAGCAATAAATCTATCTCCTACTTATTCCATAATTTTATGGAATTATCCTGTATTATCACTATTTAAAACCATAGCAGCACATTCTTTCCAAGTATTTAATTCATAATTTTTGGCAATTTCATCTGGGTGTTTTAGTACAATATGTTTTAATACATTTTTTAAAAAGTAGTCAGTTTATGTTGTTAGAAAAGTACTCATAGTTTATTCAAATATTTCTTTACTTTGAGAATAAGCTAATAAAAGAGCTTCAGCTGATCTACCACATTTCAAAGCACAATCAATAGCTCCTTCATAATTACCTACAATTAAATTATCTTTAATTATTTTTTCAACTCCAACATTCCAATTAGTATTTTTTGACACTTATTCAGATTAAAAGATTTCCACATCTTAATTTCTACTTGTATTAGTTTATTATTATTTGTTTAGTGATTGATTAGTTAAATCATTAAAAAATGAATCTGCATCTTAATCAGTAATTGTTGCAAAATCAATTGCAGGTCTTTAAGGAACTTAATTCTTCTTTTTATTTTGATCATCTTTCTTAGCATGTCTCTTTCCAGTGTAGTTTTCAGTTTATTATGTAATTTCTTACACTGAGAATCCCAAAGTTGATAAATATTCTTTTTTATCTTCTTTTTAAACTGAATTTATTAATTTCCAATATTAAGTATATTATTAATCATGCTATTTTTCCATTTCTAATTAAATTCTATTTTATTCTGCATCAACTGAACAAAATGCATTAAAACTTTCAAAAATATTATCTGGATCAGATTTACCAATTTAATATGTTTATATAGCAGAATTATTTTCTTTAAAACTTGCCAATTAATCAAATGCATAAGCTGAACCAACAGGAGGTTTTAACCATTTTGGAGCATATCCTTCCTTACCACTAGGTAAACTTCTGATACTTGTTTGACCATCTACACTTGATATTGAATATACTGATGTAACTCTTTTACTCCATTTTAAATCTGCAATTTCAAAGTCCAATTATTCTTAACTTACAACTGATTAAGTCTTGTAATTCCAACATACTACTTGTCCATCTCTACCTCCTGTCAATAATAAGGAATGGTCATTTGGACACCAAGATAGACTGTTTATTCCAGATCTATGCACTTAACTAAAAACAATAGATGGTCCTTATGGATTTCTTAAATCCCAAATCTATAATTCTGGTGCTCTTTCATCATCATATGCAACTGCTATTTGAGTTGGAATTTCTGGATTCCACAATAGACTAACTTTTTTATTGCTAACAGCACTGCTATCCTAAAAACTAAAAATTGGTTTATTATTTCTCAAATCCCAAACTCCCGTTAAACCATTTTAGGATGCAGATGCTAAAATGTGTAATATTTTTTTATTCCAAGAAACAGCTGTAATTGAACTGTCTTCATGAAGATTAGGATTTCCAGGGCCAAATACTGAAGGATTTTAAATATCTTTGACGATATCAGCAATCTAAGATATATAATTATTTATTACTAACACATCTTAACCTCCTAAAGCAATTAAATTTGGCTTAAACTCGTTAAATTCAATAGCAGTCACTGGTCCCTCATACAATTAATCAATAATAGAAACACAGCTTTCTTCCTCTTAATTGATTGCTGAGTTTGCATCATAAAGTGCCACGTAACCTTCTGTTGTTCCTGCAGCTACTAAACCCATCGGATAAGTTTCAGGAGCAAAATTTTCCCAAGCCAAACACGATACTGCATCTTTACTTGTAACTGTGCCAATAATAGATGTTGACGTGTTCTTCTATCCGAGGTTAAATGAATTGAATTATAATTAAGAGCTTTAGTTATACATAATTGAAATTACCCCCATTAATCATTTACTGCTGTAACTAATAGATTTGATTGTGACTTTAAATTAGACCATACAGACATGCTTCCTTAGGTTGTCTTTAATAACATTTTTAATAATTTATTTATTAATTTTTTTAATTAATACCTAAATTAAATTGCTTAAACAATAAAATTAATATTCAAAGGATAGGCACTCATTTACTATTCAACACTTATTATAATATGATTCCAGCAGATACACTAACATTTAATGAATCAACTAAAGTCTCTGGGAAAGTATGTCGACTACTCATTATATTTACTATGGTATCACATTACTTGAATAATTCTGTTCTAATCCCTGAACTTTCAGATCCAAAAATTATGATTTTTTTTTGTTTTTTTTAATCCTTCTAGAACTCTTCTATTGGAATCTCACAAATTATGATCAATTTTATACACTATTGCTTTCAAAACCACTTCCTATAACCTAAAATTCATGTTTCCTTTGTTTTACAAAAGTGGCCAAATTATCAGTTTCAAAGATATTCATCAATTCAAGAGCACCTGCACTTGTTTTGCTTACTGTAGGAGATAATGGGCACTAACCTTTCTTTTCAACAATAACAGTGTTAATTCCTAAAAAGAAACAAACTCTCAAAATTGCTCCAAAATTTTAAGGATCTTAAACTGAATCCAATAAAACAAAATTGGATTCATCAGATAATTGATTACAATAATTTAATTTTGAACATTTCAAAATAACATTTTAATGGTGGTCATTGCTGCAATATCTTTCTAATTTATTCTAAACTTAATAGATTTTATTAAATACTTTTGGAATCATTTACACATCTAATTTTAATGATTATGCTCTATTAAGGATATTTGAGATTCTTGGATTGATATAATCATCTCTAAATTTATGATAGTAGAATACTTTATTATGTTTAATTTACATAAAGCTATGTAAACTATCTTTTGTTGGCATATAATGCAGACATAACAGGATTGATGCCATATAAATAATCATATGATTTCTAAGACGAAAATCTTGATCCTAACTTTAAAATATACATATAATAATTTAAAATTTATTTATGCCTTTGTATGAATTAATCGCAATTTGCAGATGCTCCTAGGCATAAGGTACAGCTGCTGCCATTAGATAACTGTCAGTCTTGATTTTCTAAGGAGGTAATATCATACATTGAAATAAAATAGGAGGAAATATTAGAAATGTGAGAATATTAGGGGATAGAATCATGAGTAAATAAATTATAGGAAATGATGGATTTAGACATATGATAGGGAGATATGTTTCAATTTTATATGATGGTCATCCAAGCAAGTTTAGAAATGTGTTAAAAGGAGGAGAAAAGTCGTTTGAAATATTTAGATTATAGCATTTTCGAATTAAGGACTTTATTCCAGAGGCAGTAGGATTTACAAAGCCATTTGAAGAAGAGGCTCCTTTTGTGAAGAACAATAGTGTTCAATCTTATGAATATGGAAGAGCATTGCAAATATTAAGAGAAGAAAAGTAAAAATTATCCTGAGTATTATAAAAATATTTCATTAAATTATTAAATGCTATTCTTATTGTTACTACCATTACTTTCTTATAGCTTGAATACAAAAGTCAAATGCATCATAGATCCTTTGACTAATGCTTGCGATCATTTAACTATTTATTTCAATCCTACATATCCAATAAGAATCAATTCACTAATCTAATTAACATTGCCTTTCATCATTTAAGGTTAAGAATAACTTCTTCTTACATCTTTTGACGGTATAAATTAATAATAATTAAGAGTCAACTGTTGCCTTATTAACTTTAACAGGAAGTACACATTTTACAGTGACTTAAATATTACCTGAAAATTAATGGTATAAATGTAATTTAACATTGACAACAGTCTTATCTAAGAAATAGAAAGGAATCGGATAATTCTAAATGAATATTGTAGTATCATAAAACTCAAACACTTTAATTTTAGAAAAAGGTCCTTAAATTCCTCTTACATATTCAGTCATCAACTAAATTTATACTCCACCATCTATAATTCCAATACCAACAGTATTTCCATCCCCTTCAGGTACTTTGTGTGTAACTTCTGATTGGGGATTTGTTTTAAATAAGAATATTGTCAGATAGCAATAATCCATGACTTTCACTCTCAGTTATGATGCGACCAATGATAGACTTGATGTGATCCTAACTATGGTTGACTTAAATAATGGATTCATATTTCATAGAGAATGTTATTTTTCAGGACCTTAAGTAGAAAAATTTACTACTGAATGTACATTGAAATAAACAGGATCGAAACTTATATTTCAATTAAGGAGTCAAAATTCAGTACTTTTAACATAATAAACTGAATATCTACTTGAATTTTTTATATCTCATTAAGGAGATACAATTGCAGCTAGCAAATTTACTGTAGAAATTTTTCATGATACTCAGTTGATTGATTAATGCTCATCATCTAAAACATTTTTAATTGATGAAACTGATCTACCTGTTTCTTTAAATTAAATAACCGAAGTGGAATTATATTTAGATACACCTAGTATTGGTGTACCAACATTTATGGGTGTGGCATTTAGACCCAAAAATATATAAATAGATACACTTATTAAAATTGAATTAGGATTCTTAAGTTATGATTAATTAAATTGTTAAGTATTTTAACTTGAAATAGATACATTTATGCCTTCATTGTCATTTTCACATTATTCCTATGATTCTTAAAATCTGTATTTTTATTCAAACAAAAATAAACCTGATCAAATTTAATATAAATATAGTGTTAATTGTACTGGAATTACAATATTATAGACTACTAATAAAATATTTAGAGTTGTATATGAGGATCTATATCATACAATAATTTAATATTTTTAAACCAGATAACCTTCAAGATTACCGACTGATTCTTAAAGTTAATCAGCATCCTTAAAAATTGTGAAAAATATAGATTTGATATCCAAGAAATTTAATAATCCTTTAGTAAGTAGTATAATAACGATTAAAATTATTCCTATTTATGGAATTTATAGAATACTAATAGAATTTCCATCTTCTTACACCACAAATATTATTAAATGTGTAATAAATGAAACATCTTCTGTATTTTGCAATTAAGATTCTCTTAATCCAAATAGATTGATAGTTTATTTAACAAAGTATCATGATAGTGAATTAATTAAAGATCCATTTAATGTTACTATTTATGGAATGATTAACCCATATGAATTAAAATACAATAGCCGAATATGTGTAATGTTAGATGATGATAATATATTAACACCATTATTATTTGGAAATGAAAATTATTTAAATGGTATTACATAATATGAATATCTTGATGATTATATAAATACCAATATTTACAAATAATTACCAACTAGTGATTTTAAATTCTCCTAATCTTTAGCTAGAGTTTATGATTTATATTTAATAGGTAATATTACTTTTTCAATGGGAAGTATTAATGAAATAAATAAATTATATTTGCGTATATCAGATTAATATACAATATATGATTTGAATTGTTAACTAATAAAAGTTGGGGATTAGCAATTAAATAATTATATTAGTTCATGCAATTAAAATTACAATTACATAGAGATGAATTTAATTACAGATACAGGTAATATAAGATTTAGTCAATAATATTATTTAAATATATCAAATTTCAGAACCTAAGATTTAATTTCAATAGAATAATATGCTGCTTTGTAGCCTATGATACAACTCTTTTTAGCTTAAGACGACAATATAATATCTTTAGAAAACTAAGTCAATGGATCATTTGTAATGAAAACTTAAAAAATTCCATTCTATTGGTACAATCGAAATGCAGATGGAGAATTTAGTAGATTAGAGGTGCAACCAGGATTTGAGGATACAAAAACATACAAAATATATCTTAATCATTTTGGGCTCTAAAGATTGTATTTAGGTTTAGCAGATGTTTCTGATAGATTTAATTGCACCATTAACTTATAATTACCAACAATTCATGAAGATATTGTTGTATTTGGTTAAAGCAGTAAATATGCCAAATAATCATTTAGTAGTCAAGCTATAACACAGCCTAAATATATAGTCAAATCAATGACAGATGATACTTTCTATGAAACAATTAAAGATACTGAATTGGTAATTAATCCTGGAGATAGTGGATTTATATTTAATATTGCTTCAAAATCATTAATTAATATTAAAATTAGAGTGTAAATAAATTATACTATTTCATTTCCTGGGCGTAATTCATGGAATCCAATTTATTATTATAATCCATTTACTGAAATTCCTGTATTACATTTAGAAATTATTAATAAAGGCTGTGAACTAATTCCACAAAAATCTACATATGATTTACCTGTAAATGGTTATACACATCCCATAATAATTGATGCATCTGAATGTATTCCTGTTGTTGATACCAAACTCAATGTTACAATTTAAGACAACAATAAATTATAATTAGTTCCTATTTAGATGAGTATTTCAAGATATAGATTTGAACTAATTACAAGAACAACTCGAAAAGCTCCTGAATATAGTTATATTTTTTAAATCAAAGCTACTAATGAAACTATATCAGGAATAATTACTTAAGTTTTAATTAATAATATTGCAATCTCCATTTCTGCAATATTATAGTATACAGAATACCCAAAAGCATCTCCCTTGAAGGGATTATACAGTTAAAGTTCAAACTCTATTTCATTATCAATGACATGTTCTTAGCCTTCTGAAATTTTACTTGTAATCGGAATCGATGAAATAACTGATGAATCATTTGAAAAATTAAGATCTAATTCCATTTCTAATGAACTTATTGGAGATTATGATTTATTTAAATTATAACCTGAAAATGCCACTTTGCAATAGGAGAGCAGTTATCTCTTTAAATATGAAATAATGCCTACAAATTTGATCATGGATATCTATAATAACAGGATAGGAAACTAAATTACTTATAATGATTATGATATTGTAAGCTAAGTGAATTAATCTCAAATCAAAGATAATTCTTATAAAACATTGATGAATTCTATAAGGAGAATGATGATTAATAGGTTAAGTTTACTTGACAAAACAAGTCAACTTCATTTATAAAGGATCTAATCGAAATTGAATTATTTTGATACTACTGTAACTTTTGCTCTCTCCAATTTGAAATAAAATACTAAATATTCTTTTGGATATTACTGTAAAAATTTGAATGGAAATACATCAGAAATTTCAACCAATTTTCAATATATTGCTAATGAAACCACTTTGAACAATAAAACTGTAAGTAAAATGTTATAATTGAAATTTAAATAAAAAATTTCATCTTAATAGGAAAATAACATTCTCTGCGCTTTGGCATAATTTTTTTCAATTAACTATTATTAAGTACTTTCTAGAGAATGCAAATAATGTAGATTTTAAAATATCCACTACGATAAAATAAATTACACATAATATTTACAATTAGTATAAGATTTTGTTCCTTTTGAAAATAGATCTACAACAGAAAAATAAAAATATCTAGATAATTTGTACACAATGAAAATTTATTTTAATAATTATCCTTCCTCCAATGGTCAAAATTTTGATATAACTTAAAAAATTGATAAATCAATTAACCTAACAAATGAAACAATTTTGAGTATTATTAATGTCACAGATGACTTTTCACTAACCTTCAATTATGAAACCTTTTCATATTAAGAATTGAAGCCTGCTAAAAGATCTAATGTTGAATTGGCAACATAATTAGTTCTACTAAATTATGAATTTAAAACCATTAGTTTGGATATTTCAATTAAGGCCAATCAAGATGTACTTGGAATTGTAGGATTGCATGTAAAAATTACAATTTAAACTTTAGAAAATTGAACCAATTTTTGAAAATGTTATTAAACATCCTACTGGGATCATGCTTAGAAGAGGTATATTAAGTACTTTCAGTAATATATCTGAAGGAGTCTAATTTGCAGAATTAATAAAAAATGAAAATACAACTTTGACATTTAAGGATCTAATAGATGGTTAAAAGTATGATTTAATAATTAATTAGGTATTTAATTTATTACTCATCTACTGACTTGTAAAATGATTGTTTAACAAAATAATATTAAGAAACAGTTGTTTAATAAATAACTTTTGTTAGTTAGTAACAAAGTCGAGAATCAATTTTGCATATAAATATAGCTTTAATACTACTTGTTATTTTCTGCATGAAATGATTATTTAGTATATAATTCAATATTATATATTAATTTTATTCTTTAGTTATTAATCGATATCATTATCTTTTTTAACTTAACTTATGATCTAATTTTTCTGTCTTATTTTTTCTTTCTTCTATAATCTTAATAAAATAACTTCTTCCAATATTAATTTATTTTTTCTTAAAGTTACATCATCAAATCCATATTTCTTTTCATAATTTTAATTAATTACTTTTTTAAATGTTTATTTTTCTTCGTTCAATTATTCTGCAAATTCTAGTGTTGGAATAAAGAAAGGAGCACTAGCATCATAATCTTGATTGTTTGCACTTCCTGGAACTTATGTTTAAATACTAATAATAATGAGAAAATATCACTTTTAAGAAATATATTAGCACATTGTTTATTCGACTATTGGATGATTTTTTTCGTTTTTAACAATTTTAAATTTAGTTTTATGCATACGGGTTTTCTTTTTAGGTGGCTATTTTGAAATAGATCGTAAATTGTCTAATAAATCTGTATTTTATTGGGCTTTCAGTTATTTATTATTTGCTAATCTCTTTCTAAATTATTAAATGTAATTTACAATATATCCTCTTAGTAATTGACATTCCATTCCTTAAAAATTTAATTGTCATTCTTTATTTTTGTTTGCTCTTATTTTTCATCAAATTACTTTATTGATTTTGATGGAATATCTGGTAATTCGGGTAATTATTAACGATATTAAATTTTTGGTAAAGAATAAGCCTAGTATGCTTGATTCACATCGAAAATTAATTAAGCCTTTTATGGAACAATAAATTATAATTGTGAAGCAGCCTTCGTTTAAACCTATTAATTCATATAATTAATATTAGTAATAATTTTTATATTCTAAAACTTCATCAATTTTATTCAATTGAATAATTGTGTATTTTTGTATGCTGATTAAGTAAAATCCATAAAGAATAATAAAACTACATATTATTCTAGTCCAGTTTTCACAAATTGATGCTCAATTTCTAGATTTTAAATAATGAAAAAATTCCACAAAGCTTATCCATAAAATTCACAATAAAATCTGAAGTACTTTTCAAAATAATATTTATTCAATAGATTCAAAAATGGTAGTGATCCTAAAAAACAATAGATTAAGTAATAAAATACATTTCAAATAAATGATTATATAGAAAACTAAGCGAAAATGTAGCTTTAAGTCTAATCAGAATATTGTAATACACAAAAATTCTATCAATAAATAATCATTGCAATACCCTAAAATAATACTAAATGATTGGAGAAGGCATCCAATATAGTTCAATTTAAAAACATTTACTCCTTTGTTATTATTGTTTTTTAGAAAATATTGCATGTTTTCATTTGTTTGGACTTGCATATTTTATTATAATTCTTATTGTAAAATGTTAAATGATAATATTAAATCAATCTAATAGCTTCGATTTTACATCCTAATGAATTTTAGATCGAATTATATGTAAAAATAAATAGATTAGACCAAGAGTAAAGAGTATCCAACTGAAAAAGTCACTCGATCTTGCCCAAATATTAACACATTAAGTTCCTAAGCTAAGAAAAATACACAATATATATTACAAAATATTATATATTCCCCTTCCCAAATAAGATCTCAAAAATCTAAAATAGATATTCACTTCTAATTTGTAATATTCAGCTAATAATAACAATAAACCAAAAAATCTATATATTTATTATTAATTTTGTACACATAAAATAATGGAAGAAACATTGTATAAAATGACATTAAAAAGTTAGAAGAATTCCATATTTTCAGAGTGAATAAAAAGTATAACCCTACAATTGCAACATACATTCTTTTATATTATATTTTTTTACCCAGCACCGATATTAAGATATCTTGTATACAATAAAAATTTGTCAATTTAATCACCACTGTCATGTTAATCTTCACCCATAATCAGAGGTTGATTTAAGTCATTTGTATAGGCATATTGGGGAGGTTGTTCCACCTAAGGTTATTCGTTTTGCTTTTCAGGTTCAAATTTAGGATAGGGGTTTTCATTTGGTTATGAACTAGAGTTAGTATTATAATTATCTTCCATTAATTTAATTATTAATGCCTCCAAAGAAACAACATCATAAAACCTAGTCTTCTGATATCTCTGCTTAAGCAATAATCAATTTTCTCTCAAACAGAGATCCATAGAATGGTCGATAATCTCCAACCAAATAACTTGATTAACTAAAAATGAAGACTTAAACTCATCAAAGTCCATAACCAGTTAAAGTAACTTAGTAATAATAAACTTTGCTATAAAACATGATGAGACAAAGCTAAAGGAAATTACAATAACCTGAAACAACAAAATCAAGAATTGGTCTTATGTCTCCAAAGGTTTTGAGTCAAATCCATATGAAAACATAGCCACATTCTCACTAGAACTCATAAGTTAATTTAAAAGAGTCAATGCAATAATTAATGTCAATTCCACTTTCAGCTACAAGTAAAGTAGTTAGCAAAGAAAAAAAACTTATAGAAGAATTGCTAGCTAAAACTAAGAACTCTAAATAGTAATAATTCTTTCCAAAGAGCCCATCAATTGAATAAAAATTTTAAACTCATTCTGGATCATAACCGCTTATTTTTTTAGAGAAGTTTAAACCAACTACTGCTAGGTATAAATTTATTTTATTATTAACAGAAAATAGGAAATGATGACAATTGTGCTTTAATATAAAAACTTCCGTTAAAAATATGCGATAGACATATCCATGAATAAGATTTAATGGTTAATTGATTTTGTTAAGCAAGAACTTGGAATACCTATATAAGGGATTAGAACTACTGGAATTTCTATACCAATTGATTTTATTCTATCTAAACCTGAAAAACCTTTAAATTTACTGTCAGGATTTCCAATTCAACCTCTATAAATAGAACCAATTATTCTAAATCCTAATGAACCAAAAGCAGCTAGAGTCACACTTAAGGATTTTGAATTTATAAGGTGTATAGGAATGGGAGGATTTTCAAAAGTGTATATGGTTAGAGAAGTGCATACAGGATAATTTTATGCTATGAAATTGATAGAAAAAAAACCAATTCTTTAATAAAATAAATAATAAATTATTTAATAAGAAAGGGATATAATGTCAAATTTGGATCATCCATTTATTGTTGGATTGTAATATGCATTTGAATCACGAAAATATCTGGTTTTTGTATTAGAATATTGTTTTGGAGGAGAATTATTTTATCTATTAAGAAAGGTAAAGATAAATCAACATAACTATAGGTAAAAAGAATGAACGAATAAGAAGCATTTTTTTACTTTGCTGAGATTTGTCTTGGAATGAAAAATCTTCATGATAATAATATTATTTATAGAGATATCAAACCAGAGAACATTTTAATTGATTTTGATGGACATGTTCGTATTGCAGATTTTGGATTATCAAAACCAGGTATGGTTGATCAAGAAGTAGCTTACTCTTTTTGTGGTAGTCCAGAATATATGGCACCTGAAATGCTTTTAAAATCAGGCCATACTATATAGTTAGATTTATATTGTTTAGGAGCACTTCTGTATGAATTAGTTACAGGATTACCTCCATTCTATTCAAGAAACACAGATGAAATATATTAAAGAATATTGAATGCTAAACTAACTTTTCCATAAAACTTATCTGCATCCATTAAAGATCTATTGAATGGATTATTGGCAAAGAATCCTAAAAAAAGAATCGAAAGTATTGATACTATATTAAGACATCCTTGGATGATTTAATGGGGAGATAAAAATCTTTATAAAGACTTATTGTCAAAAAAGATTGAACCCCCATTTAAACCAGATTGTTTTGCCTTTAATTTTGATGAAGAGGAGTTTGGTAAAGGTGAAGCAGAATTTCTGTAATACATTAAACCATTATAATAAAATGTGATGGAAAATTATCCAAAAGATATAATCTTGAAAAATTTTTATTATAATTGTATGTAAGAAAGCACTGGAGGTACCATGCAAAGATGATTTAATTTACAATCTTTGATATATAAATATTTTATTCTATTTTTGTAAAATTCAACTCAAATTTGTATTTAAGAATAAAGGTAATTGACATGATATTAAATATCTAAATTATCAATCAATTGATTATATTTTTGTTATGAATTATAAATATAATTATTTGTTTAATCATAATCTAATTCATGCTTTCTTAATGGATTGAGAGTATTTGTTTAGTAAAATTTGACATTGAAATTGGTTAAATTGTTGAATGGACACAACCATTACAATCAATAACAGATTAAGAGGAAAAAAATATAAGTATGTTAGCATTTCCAGATTCAAATGCATTTTCTTAAAATGAAGGTACTATATTATGTTTTTAAACAAGGTCATCTTAAATATGTGTTTAGAGTTAGAAGGTCAGGTGGAAAAAATAAATTTTCATTAGGATTTGCATTGTTTATGTAAAGAAAAGATGAAGATAATCCAAGAGGATATACATAGAAATCGATTGTAATTTTAACAAACCTGCCTCTTGTTACTTTCTATTATAATTTATTAGAACTAATATATACAAATATCAAGCAAGGATGCTTAAAAGCATAATTACAAGTAAACTTTAATCTTGATATTTTAGTATGCTTATGAATAAATAAGCAATTGGGAAAAACCATAACCCAATAAATTATTTAATCTTTAAATATTTAATAATAAAATAGCAGTGGAAGTTCCACATTATTTAAAAATGTAAAAGGTTGATTCTTAAATGAATGTAGAATTATAAGAAGTATTAGAGGAGTTAACTCTTACAAATATGATTCAATTTGATGACTTAAGAGACATTGGATAATTCTAGGAAGCCAATATTTTTGCAGCATTACCGTAATTTAATAATCAAAAACTAAAAGTCATGCAATGTTAGTTCATTTACCAAAGTTATGGGAACTTATTGTCACAAATCAATAATTTATGGTTATAGCTGATTCACCTTATCAGTGCAGCGAAATTATACTTGGAATGATTAGCTTAATTTCACCAATGAAATATAGTGGGGATTACAGACCATATTTCACTATTTATGATAAGGAATTTCAATAAATAAATTAAGAACTTGAAAATTCAATCGTTCGAAATATCATTATAGGAGTTACTAATCCTTTTTTTCTGAAAGTAAAATTTGATATATAATATTTTAGGCATTCAAAAAATTTCCAATTATAATTAGATGCGATTCATAAGCATAATAAAATAGATTATTAACTTAAGGCAATAAAGAATTTTGTTTGTAAGATGACAAATAAACTTTGAAAATGATGATTCCTATAAAAAATGAAGAAACAAAAACAATTAATAATTCATTAATAAAGAAAATTTATCGTAATATGTCTTTAGAATTTATTGGACTTTTTGAAATGTATTTTGCCTCCTAATAAAATGTACTTATTAAGATTATAATTAGTAAGTAAAAAAATTTGATGAGAAAGAGTTTTTAGAGTTTACTAAAAATTGCAAGGTCTCATTTTAGGATTTGTTTGAAACAAAACAAAAATTTGTTAAGCTATATCAAACATTTATTAGAAGCTCCAATTTTGTAACATATTTGAATGAACGCAAAAATGTGTATATAGCGAAAAACATTATTTGATAGTAATACTAATATTTAAATTTGAAATTATTATGAGTTAATAAAGTTGTTTCTTCAACGAAATCACCTCAATTGAAAAGATTTAGGAAGAATCCATTTATTAGCAAAGGTATATTTATATGATTACTTGAGCCAATCTAATACACAATATTATGTAAATCAATCAGATAAGTCAATTAATTTTTTATCTAAAGGAGGAAATTAATTCTTTTTACCTTTGGATGTAGAAATAAACTAAGTTTTTCCATTGTCTGAAGGTCTCTTGCTAGGTTGGGGTAGGGATGAATTTAATTATTCTGTCGTATTAAATCACCCACTCGCCTCTATTACAACATTAGGAACATATAATAGCACATTAGGGACAATAGAGCCTTGGATACATATGTAAGAAGAAATTATTTATGCTCATAAAATTCTGCCAATATTGATAACTTATAATTCTTAATTGATGAGACATTGTGTTTATATTTTAAAGGTTGATGATAAACAAGAAGTCCAAAATTATAATCTTACTGAAAAAACAGATTGCCAAGTATAAATCGCATCATATTCTTAATTAGATCATTAGTGAATTATATTATGAAGAAAATATAAAAGAAGAAAAAGCAAAATAATGTGAAATAATTAAAAGTAATGTGGATGGAGAATTATTAATTTGTCTATTATCTGATCATACAATAAGAATTTTAGAAATGAATTTCTTGGAAGAAAACAAAAGCAAAAATATATTCAATAGTTTAAAAGTAGTTTAAACTATTCAAAAAGTCAGTTAAATATAAGTATTTAATATGATTGATTCTATATATGCTGAAACTATATCAATTAAAAAAGAGAAGTTGAAATATTAAAATAATTAATTTGAATATGTGGCATATCAAATCATTAATCACAATAATATTCCATCTAATTTATTAATTTTACATACAAACTCTGCTTTTACTTTATTAAATGGTAGTAAAATCCTTTTAAATTATCAAATTAATGAATAAATTAATGATATCTCTTAATTCAATTGTGCTCCTGTTATAACAGAGCCCTTAATTTAGACAATCTTACATTCTTTGAAAATTGCCTTAGATACTCAATAATACATTTGTCTATTTAAAGATGTCATCATTAATTGCTTATAGAATTAGAACCTTAAACTAGAAATGTCAAAGAATAATATAGATAATGAATTCATGAGGTTTACTTACCTAATGTTATGTTACCTAAAGTTAAGCAGCAATAAAAAAGATTGCGAAGATTAAATCTAAAAAAAGATTAAGAGTAATTCTTCTTCAATGTAGCAATCTCCCATCAAAGAAAATTCTAAATCTTTTTAATAATTACTAAAATCTAATTATCACAAAGAAAATTCAAGTTATAATGGCAATACTTAAAATTCTCATTAATAACAATAATCGTAATAAAGTTTAAGTTTTATATATCACATGACAATGGAAATGTTTAATGAAATTTAAGACAAGATTTTATATGTTCTACATTTATTGTATTAAGAATTATTGTTATCAGATGAAAAGCAAGCTAATAAATTATTGATTCTTTTATATTATTATTCCCTAAACATGGATAATGAAGTTGCGATAAATTACACTGATTATTACCTCAGAATAAATCCATAATTATAATCAGTGTATTAAAATGATAGTTTTATTTCTCTTTTGCCAACTATTAGATCTTTAACTTTACTTGGGTAACCATAGTAATAAAATAAATAAAAAATTCTACCTTAAAATCCAATAGACTTGAATAAATGGTTGAGCAGTTTATTAATGAATAATCCAATATCATTTCCAATATTATTTAAGAAAACGAAGTAATTGTGCATCATTATGCAATCAATCTTAAAGAAATAATTGATTCATATTTCTTCAATATTATAGAGTGAAGTTTAAGATTTTTAAGTTTTATATTAAGTGCAAAAGACTTAACTATTTTTTTCAAAAGTATTAAATCAAAAATTACAAATGAAATATATTTAGCAAAAGAAAAATAAACTTGAGATGCTCACAAAATTAAGAGGGCCTTCATTAATGTTATATTTATGTAGTGAAAAACGTTGGAACAGAGATATTATTAATAAGCTGCCATTATAATTTAAAATTGTTATTTTAGAAATCGTCACTTTATTAAGAAATAATTTTCCCAATGACTTAATGGGATAAATCACTAAAGATGCTTATTTATTAATAGATAGAATGGACATTTACTTAAATTGCAAATTATATATTCAAAATCCTGTAGAATGTGAATTTAAAAAATACGTTAATTCAATTTTGAGTGGGCAAATAAAAAGTTTATAAAATGAAGATGATAATGATATCTAATATGATTAGCATTTGATGTAACAAGTTAAGAGACAATTTGATTTTACTAGAGATATTCGTATAAAAACAAAAATGACTGAACATATTCCTGAAGAAAGATTGGATTAAGATGCTCCTTCAGTTTTATTAAAATTATTGAACCGAAAATTAGCTATGTTTGTTGGATTAGGATCCTTGACATATGGTACAAGTGATCATTTTATTACTGATTAAATTAAGTTTCCATAATTAAATTTATCAGGAATCTTATAATAAAATAGCTTGAAATTAACAATAGATTCAACAAGAGAAGATTATACACAAATGACACAATGGCCAGAATTTCATTTAGGAGTAACATTGTCATTACAATTATCAAAAAAACTTAAAGGGTTAAGTCAAGAATCTTTAAGAACTTGGATATTTTATTAGAAACCATAAAATCCTTCTAACATTCATGGAGGATTTATGTTAGGATTAGGATTATTAGGATATCTAAATTCGTTTAACTAGATTGATTTATATTAACTTCTTACATAAAATCATGAAGCAACTAGTGTAGGAGTATTATTAGGAATTGGAGCTTCAAGAATCGGAACTTGTGATGAGCCTACTTAAAAATCATTAACTGTTCATATTCCTAGCTTAATACCTAGTGTTTATGATTTGGAACTTCCTAGTAATGTTTCTACAAGTGCATTATGTTCACTCGGATTCTTATTTATGGCCAGTGGAAATAGAAATTTTACTGAAGTTGCTTTAGGTTTAATAGGTAGAAAACCTCATAATGATAAAGTGATAGATAGAGAAGGATATTCCCTTGCAGCTGGAATTGCATTAGGATTAATCAATTTAGGAAAAGGAAGTGTTTGGAGAAGAGAACTTTAAATTGTAGATCGTTTAATCAGATTTGTCTAAGGAGGAAAAGTACTCCCTCCTCCTTAGTCTTCTTTGTCTACCAATTTTATGTAAAATGAAAGTGTAAGTAGTTCTATAAGAGAAGGTAGCATGGTTAATGTTCATGTTACCTGCCCTGCTGCTTTAATGGCATTAAGTTTAATGTTTATGTAAATGAATCAATAAAATATTGTTGATTAATTAAACATTCCAAATTCATTTAGTAGTTTGGAGAGCTGCAACCCAAATCATATAATTTTAAAATCTTTAACTAGAAACATTATCATGTGGGATAGTATACCAACAACTTAAGAAGATTTACATTCCTAAATTCCAGAATTAATTTCTTTTTTGTTTGAATAACCTTTAAAAAAAATCCATTAAAAGTTTTATTTAGTTTATAATGTAGAAGTCATCGATTTTATGTCTGTAAGTATGATATACACTGGCATGATTTCTGGAGCCTTGTTAGCTATGGGTATTAAATATGCTGGAACTCATGATTAATAAATTAAATAACTTATGATTAAATAAATAGAGTTCTTAGTTAAATTAAGAATATCTTAAAATGAATTTGCCAACGACCCAGATAATAAATGCGCTATTGATTAATACACTTATTACACTAACATAGTTAATGCTTTATAAGGATTATCTCTTTTGATGGCAGGTAGCTTTGACTAAGAAGTATTGACAATAGCAAAATCATTAATATAAAAAATGGAAAATTCATAAATTTGGCATTTTGGCTTCCATTAAGGAATAAAAATGGCTATTGGTTTTGTATTTATGGGAAAAGGAGGATATTCTTTCAAAAAGTCTAAGAAAGCAATCAGCATGCTTTTATTATCATTATATCCATATTACCCAACAAACCCTGGAGATAATAAGTAATATTTGTAGGCCTTAAGATGGAGTTATGTTCTATCAATTAGACCTAAAATCTTTAAAATTATTGATGTAAAGACTCATAAAACTGTGAATTTATAAATTAAAAATGAAATATTTTCAGACCCTAATTACTGCCGGTCAAATTTTTCATTTACAAACAAGGCCGTATAAACAATTTATGTACAATCCAAAGTGTTAAGCTAAAATAATCAAGATTTATTAAATCCAAATAATATTCTGAATCATATTGATACTTTACTATTGATTGGTGATATGTAATAAATTGATTCAAAACTTGATGGGCTTTATGAGTATAAGTTTATCAAAAATTTAAAGGAGAAATAATATTTTTTAAAGCTATTGCAACACGATTAAAGCAATTTTATTTAAATCTTAGCTTCTTTATTTAATAGTAACAAATATTCACACATACCAATACTGGTATTGTTTTATAAATAATACTAAAATAAATTAGTCCTATCTTAGGAAGTTATTGATTAATTGACTCCTATAATTAGTGTTACAAATCAAGAACTCAATAAATACATCAATTAAGATTTAAAAAATATGCATGTCAGTCTAGTTTCAAAAAAAATCTTCAGCTTTTTATCTATTTATAACTTGCCTTATCTACACGATATTAAATAAATCGTTAAAGTTGCTAAACAGATTCCTTTGTAGATGTTAGAATTTTATTTATTCAAATCTTTTGAAGATGTCCAATAAGAAAAACTAAAGCAATTAGCTCAATCAATATTATTAAATTTATGATAGTTATATCTTAAAATATTTCAAAAATAATTTTAATATATGAATAAAAACCCTCATTGAAATAATAATTTCAAATTCAAACATCATGCATAAGTTAAAGTATTTATTTAAGCTTTTCATTTAAAAATTAATGTATTTTCTCATCCGATTGCTTTATTACCAAACATTCTTTTTTCTATTCAATATAAGCCTTCACTTTTGCTCTCTCTTTATAAATTATTTTAGAATTGTAAAGATATATCTTGTATTCCTTTTATTGAGATTCGTATGCCTTTAAATTGTCATTATTAAATGCAATCAAAATTTGCTTTTTTAATATTTCTAGTAATATAAATTATTTTGTTGTGATTACGTATGCAAATTTGTACTTTGTGATCATGAACACAAATGTGTCAATTAAGATTAGCCCAGGAATTAATTCTAAAATTTTTAATAAAAGTTTTTACTATCTAAAATATACATTATTTCAGAGTCTTAGAGCATATAATTTCTTAATATTTATTCTTCTCCATAAAATATTCTAGGTAGTCTTTTTCTCATTTCATTAGGCTTTTCATCAAAAAAAATAGCTGTATTCTTTACTCCTTCAGAAGTTTTACTCACTAAATCAAGTGCTCCTGTAACAGGTTTGATGACTAAACCAGCTATTCCTTTGGAAACTCCCTTAAAAAAGCCTCCAACTCCATCTTTTTCGGCTCCCTAATAAGGTTGAGTCACAAGTCCGGCTAAACCATAACCTACTCCAGATGCAAGGCTTACCATCCCTTAACCTAAGCCGTGTACAAGAGTTTTAGCTTTTTTTGAATTTTGTAATTATCTATAATGTAAATAGTCATCATCCATTGATAATTATGATATGCCTGAAGCTACACTTCCAGTTATTTTGCTAACAGAATTGAAGGTACCAGACACTACACCTTTTGTTAAAGATCCAACTCCTTTGACTATGCCTAAACCTCCTTCTAATGGTCCTTGAACGAATCCATCATATGGCATTTCAAATAAGTCTTAAAAACCTTCTTACACATTTTCAATCAATCCTATAGGATTTCCAAGTAAATCAATCGAACCTACTAACTTATATAAATTTGAGAAGATAGCATCCTTATAATTTTACATCATTTTATTTTACAATTAATCCCAAGTTGTATAACAGTTAGTCATTGCATAACCTTTAATTGTTATGCTTACTTCATCACAATTTATGGCTTAACTAGCAGCTGATTTAAGATATTATTTATTATTTTTTTTTTCAACTTTCTAAAATGATAGTTTTAATTAAAGTGGAAAAAATTATAAATTATCGAAAAAGCATAATTATTATTTTAAACTTTTATCTATTTGCCAAACTCTCAATTATTTCATCTTTTACTCTTCAATCCATTCTAAAGATTTTAAATAACTTTCTAATTCACAAAAGGTCCCTTCAGTTATTCTAACAGAGATGGGATGAATAGCCAATTTTACAGTTTCAAAATAGTTTATGAAATTTATTTAGTGCGCCCTTTTTAATAGAGCATTCATAAATGGAATATTCGATTTTTCATTTTATTATGTTACTAAAACAGGATATGTACATCTAAAATGCTAATTATTGTCTATTTATAAATCTTATATTTTAATTTAAATAGTTTCTAATATATCAACTAATTAAATAAATTCTATTTTTTAAATTGAGATAGCAAGGAGTTCATCTCTTGGATATGAATTTATGATTGATATATTCAATTTTGGTATGAGAATGCTAAATTAATTGAGAATATTGTCGTAATTCAATTTTTTGTTAGGTTACTCGGTATTAGATATAGTTACAATCATTTGTCTTTGATCTAAAGAAAACTAAGTATTCAAATAGAATATTTCATCATCAGCCATCTTATATTAACGGGTTTAATCAGAATTAACTAATTCAACTTTCACAAAATCAGAGAATTATCCATTTTTATATAATTCTAAAGTTATCATTCTAGTATATCCAGGATTATCTAGAGAATAGTCAACTCTACCTCCCATAGGTAAATTTGTTTTGATATATTCATTCAATTCTTGAATTTCAGTTTAATAAAAGCATATGTCATAGTTCAATTAATTAATTATTTTATAGAGTGGCTTTTGAGTAGATTCTTGGACTATTATGTACTTAATCTTATCCTCTTCCATACAGTTAATACTTAAATAATCCATTAATTAACCTTTAGAATTTCTCAAAGGTAAATTAAGGGTTCCTTACATTTCAGCAGAGATTGATCCACTGCTTAGATCTTTGAGTTTGAACTTTAAATATTTTGATCCTTAAATCTTCCTCCAAAAATATGGGGATTTAGCATCTGGCATTATAAAGAGTTCTTAATTGCAACGATCCTAGAATATGGTTAGATTTGTTTTTAGTTTATTGACAATTACAATTCTTGGGTTTAGATAAATTATTTTTTTTTAACTAATATTATGTACAACAATTGTTTGGACATCAATGATTATATCCATATAACCATTTTCTTTTGGAATTTAAACAAGAAATTATCCATTGATTTTAGTATCAATAGGTTGGGATATTTTATCTGGGATTTATTCTTAATTGCATTATTCAAAGGTGATTATTAAATTATCAACAGAGTTAACAATTTATAAGCACCCATCTTCTCTCAATTTATCGTCAAGTTGATCAGTGATTTAAAAAATTGGTTATCCAGGCTAATAAATCAGTAACTTCTATTAGTTTAGAGTATAAAAATATATATCTAGTCCTAAAGAATTTTAGATAGTTAATCCACCATCTACTCCTATTGTAATTAATCCTTCCCCATCATATAAAGGGATTAATTATAAGCTTAACTCTAAACCGAGAAAATCTCGAATAATAAAATCTTATTACTTAAATTATTCGTTTAACTCAATTTATTGAGATTTTTAAAATCCTGGCAATTTAATTTTTAATTTTAAGCCTTTATTTAATTATGAATTTGATATTTTTAATGCTTGATTCGGCTCTATTCTACAATAATCCTCAATACAAAAATATATATCTATAGGTAAAAGTAATAAGTTTTTAATTGCAAATGGACAGACAAATTTGAGCTCAAATGGTTATGTTGTCAATGCAGGTTATTTAACACTTAAAACTAAGCAAGGAGTATTAATAAACAAATTATAATTTCCATTTTTCAAAATAAGTTTTTAAAGGTCCATTCCTTAAGACCAAACTCCATCATTTGAATATCTGACTAATATCATTGATTATTCATATCCTATTGGAATGTACTTTTTATCATTTTTTAAAACAATTAAAATTAATTATTATTATGTTATTTTATTTATTAATTTAAGTTCTATATCTGATTAACTATTATTTAAAAACAAAATATCTGAACTAATAGTCAAAATTTTTTATTAATCTAAAGTTTCAATTCTGATTAAAATTTAGGTTAATTTATTGAGCATTCCTATCTTGTATTCAATCTGTCTTGATTCATCCTTATTTCTCGAAAAGTGTAAATTATTTATTTCTTTGAAATTAGATTAAGGAGATCTTATAAAAATTGAAAGCACCCTTTTCTCCATTTATTCAGCATATTTTAATCCAAATTATTAATATGCAGCAACAATTGCAGTATCAATTTTCTTTTATGTTTTATTAATTATGGTTAGTTCAATTTCATATCCTGTTTAATTATCAACAATATAAGGAGACATACAAACTACTTTTTCAATGGCTGATTATGCAATTGAATTATTCCTAGAAATTCTAGAAGGAGAACGTTATTTAATTTAAACGTTTTTTTCAATATTTTGAATTGATTGTTCCCATCTTTTATGGAGTTCTATCAATTATTTTATGTTCTATTTGGTGAAATTGACATTCATAGGTGATTCACTTGATTCATTGATAACAATCGAAGTGAAAATTTAAGGGTTACCTTAACTATCTTTAGAATGATCACTTAATATAACTAAAGGCTCAATGAAAGGTTCCCAAGCACCAATGTCTAAATTGAAAAATTATGCTTGAAAAAAAGTTTACTAATTCATAATATACTTCCTTCTTTTAGTTACACTCATTTGATAATCTTTAATAATAAACTAAAACAATGGTACAGGGCTTTCAATAAAAGATACAAATACTATATCAGCCTAATGTACTTGAACATTAGCCAAAAGCAATTTCTCTTCTTATTGTTTGTTTTATTTTATTGGCTTTTGCAATTCAAGCTACTTTTTTTAGAATAAATATGAAGCATAAATAGGTGTGAGATCTTCATATGAAACTTAAATATTTAAATTCTCAATTGAAAAATCAAGTTATTGTTAGCATTCCTTCTCATTTAATCCTACAAAAGCATACATAGGCAAAATAATATGTCTTTTCACTACATCACTGAATTTTTACTCTAGTAATTCATTTTCTGGGCATAAAAATACTTCTAAATTTGTGATTGTTAATTTCTATGAAGTATTATTCTTATTTTTCTCCAATATATAATTAATCCCACCTCTTGAAACAAGATTATCTTTTGAATTTTCATTTGGATATGCAATAATTCCTTTCCAATTTATCATTGTTACTAATTTTTTTTTAATTATCAAATCTTCAGGAGGAAAACAATTTTCATCTAAATCAATAAAATTTAATATCTCAAGTAGTGTTCCGCTATATGCAAAACAAATAGTATTTTCAAAATCAATAATGAGTTCCTTTGAATCTGATGATATGATATAGCCTATTTTACATTCAAAACCTGTAATTTATTATCTTTATTCCTTCCTAAATTAAGTCTCAGTTAAGCTTTCATAAGATTAATAAAACTGCAACATGATTTCCTTGTAATTATTATCATCATCTTAGCTTCCAACTAGAAAAATATTAAATTAGTTTATATTAAATTTCTAACAGTATATATTTATAATTTTTTTTAAACTTTAAGTTAAAAAAGTCTCGATTTATGTTTATTTGAACTGAAAGGTAATCCCTGAATCTACTATTTTGAGTTTAAAGATTTCAAAATAAAGTAGGGCTCTTATTTCTATTGGATTAAATTTGGAGTAAATGTGATAATCATGAATAAAAAGTTAATCTTGTTAATCATTGGTTAAAAAATTATAAGATAAAATTGTTATGAAAAGCTAAAAATCTTTTTTTGTTAATTCAATCTCCAACTCAGGCATTAAACTTTAAATTTCATAATTGTTTCTAATGTTAAAACTAAATAATTCTTTCATTTCATTTTCAAAAAGTAATTTTCTAAAACTACACTTAAGAGTATTTTTTTTCGATTTAATTAAATCGTTGATTGCTAATTCAATTTTGCTTATAACTAAATCAACTTTTTCAATCCAAATTGGTAGATTTTCTCCTTTATTATATTATCTTTCAGGTTCAAGAATTTATGAATTAGAATATACTAAATTATTAATTATAAAAGATAGTTTATCAGCATCTTAATATTTTTTTCGTAAATTTATTGATACATCTTAAAATTGATATTCATATATCATAAATTACGGATTCATAAAGCAATTAAATAATTATTCAATAGTTCCACAGACAAGTTTAGGTTTTTCCTTTCCGTCATTCATTATCAACTGGGAAGGATTAAAAATAAGTTAAAGTATTTAAATCAAAAAATAATTTACAAATCTATTAAATTATTGATGTTGATATTCTAAAATTATTTTATTAATTGAACAAATATTGAATGTAGTTGTAATCTCATTTTAATCTAAAAAATAGTCCTTATTATAATTTGCATGCTGATATGATATTTCACTAAGGTAAACCATTTCAAATGGATTATATTTTTCAAATGTAATAGGGTAATTTGTAACATCGAATATTCTTAACTCTCTTAATTTACCACTCATAAATTTTGAATTTTATGAAAATTCTACTTCATGTATTAAATCGTATGCATCTATATACCCTAAAAGTATATGCGATTGTCTATGCACCAAGTTGACTTTGGCGTATTCTAATTTTAACTCTATTTTTTATACACATTCAATTGAAAAACTAGTAAATAATTAACTGATCCTATTTATATTTTCTTCAACTGCTTTTTTGGAAATTAGCATATGTAAAATTTCTGCAAATTAGTTGTTGTAACATCTTTATCTTTGAGATTATTAATTTAATAATTAGTCTAACTTATGCTAAAATATTTAATCACTAGATTCTCCTTATAAAACTTAAAACGCTTCCTCATCCTCTAAATTGAAAGATTCTATACCAAATGCTTTAGTACCTAGCTTGCTTAACTATTAAATGGATAAGTAACTATCAGGTTTCCAATTCAGTATAAATTATCCAATATTAAATTTTGTTTATGAAAAATTATGCAAAATTTCATTTTCTATTGTAAGAAATGCATCTTTATATTCTGGGTCTTTTCTAATTAAATATTGAAGATCAGGATTATCAAATTTATGCACCATATCTATAATTTCCAAATCTCCTAAAATTAGTGTATTATTGAATATATTGGTTTGCTTGTGTGATTTATAAAATACATCTTCTAACTTTAAAGAGTAAAGGCATTCATTTGCTTTTATTAATTTTAAATCAAAGAGGGATAGTTTTAATTAAATTTACATTAAGGATTAATCAAGAAAATTATTTTAAACACCTTCATCTTCCTTAAATTCATCCAAAATATTTGTCAGCTCATTCGCCAAATTTTCATCTAGTTTTAAATACCAAGTTTGATTGTTTTATAATATCATACATTCTTAATTTTCAATTAAAGTAGCTCCTTTCAATAAGATTCTATCATCCCATTTTAAATCATGTTCCTTTTCATAACAATATAAAAATGATCCTGAAACTATTGCATATCTTTTGGTCCATAAAAAATTTATTTTCTTAATAAGTTCCCCTTTATATTTAGAATTTTTTAGTATTTATTCTTTTTCTTTTGTTATTTTTTTTAACTTTTCCTCCTCACTTTTTTAAGGATAAATTAATTGATCTAAATTAGATATTTCTTTCTAAATATTTTCAGTTAAAATGATTGAAACTGGTGGTATTATGCCACTTAAAATAAGCCTAGGTTTTTCTGGATGATTCATTGCTCCTTTCATTCTTTCAAGAGACAATTACAGGGATAAATTTTTAAGTATGTCAAATTAATTAGACTTTAAATTTAGATTTGTTATAGCAAGAGTATAATAATCATAGTACCTTGAATCTTTTTCACTTTATATACTTAGGTTACCCAAATCAAAAATAATATTATTTAAAATGATTCTGGGGCTAGCAATCAAAACGAATAGTTCCAATCTATATGAACTGTTAATTACCTAATCTAACCTGATGGCTGTTTGATTACTCACTTAATTTAACTTTTCTTATGCTGCTATTTGAACAACATTCTCTAACACTCCTTCAATATTAAAAAAATTATTCCATTTTCTTATTATTTCATTATTGTATGTGCATTCAATAGGTTCGACTTAAATCATCATGGATGCATCTTCTTCAAAGTGTTTTGGATTTTTTTTAAAGTGAACTTTTAGAAATTAATCTATCTTATTCACTTCATTTTATTTATAACAAAAAGGTAGTGTATCATCTTTGATTATTAAATCCAAATTTAAGCTTTATAATTTAAAAATCACATCGCAGCTTTAATTGACACGAGTTTCAGACGAACATTACATGCCAGAAAAAAATATTTACAACCCATCTCCTTTATTCTCGATCTTTAACTTACCCTTATTTAATTAAAAAGAAAATTTATATTCTATTGATTCATCTGGCCTGCTCAGAACTTTTTTCCTTTCCTCTTGAAATATCTAATCAATTTATTTATTAATTGCCAGAATTTCGTCTTCATCTAAATAAATATCTTAGGCTTATTTTTTATCAGACTTCCACCACGCAGTCTCTTTTTTGATTTTATCTGTTGTTGCTTTAGTTATTTTGGCTTCCTTTATCAGTTATCTGGCAGAGATTTATACCCAATCTAATAATTAATTATATTCAACAGCTCTTATAATTTAATAAAAATTATCCTTTTCTGTAGAATCTAAATGAACCAGACCATACTATTGGACTTTAGGAAATAATATAACAAACCATTATTAAAACTAATTTGTTTCAGAAACTTTGATAAGTTATTTTTTTCTTTACAACCATAAGAGTTTTGAAAAAGTAGAACATTATTCAACAAAGTGTACAAATTGTTAAAACTGCATTTATTGAACTATAAGATTTATTTCATCTAAATATAATTACATATCTTTTAAAGCTTCTTAAGTATTTGAATCATTCTAAACTACCTTCATTTCTGCATTTATAACTATGATAAAATTACAATACTCTTTGGCTTCTAAATTTTATTTTAAAATTCTTTCTTCCATAAATTTATTATATTCCACAATATTATCTTCACTTTTTATATTCCAATAAATGGCTAAATTTTTCAATTAAAATAACTTATTCATGCTCACATTTTAACCCTCTGACCTATCGATATAACATCTTTGCCAAATCTAGTTAGTTGTGAAAATATCAAGCATCTCTAAAGTAATGCCCCAATTATAAAATGATTCATATCGAATATGGATATTCACAATTTTCAATTAAATATTATCCATTATTTTTAAAGCCATCTTGTCTAAATAACCTTTGTCTTTTTCTTCACTTTTTTTTTTCTTAATTCCTCTTTTCAAACATTTTTAACAATAATTTGTTAATCCTTCAATTTTCTTTACCAATACTAAATTATCATCAAAGTGCCATTCAGTTAGTGGAATCAATGTCACAAAAACATTTTCGATTGTAATTTCAACAGGTGCACTTGTAATTTTCTTCCAAGGAATTTTGATTGTTAATTTTCCTACACTGCTTTTCTCTAATTTTATTGGTAACTCCAACATCTCAATAATATCTGACTTCAGATTAACATTTTCAATAACCATATTTCCACTCCAAACTCCTAATTTTAAGTTGTTCTTATCTAAGCCACTAATAAATTTCCCAAAATATTAAATCAATACTTTTTCTAATATTTTTTCAAACATTTTGTAAGATCTGAAATTTATATTAATATAGAATAAGAATTTATTTTATCATCAATATATATTTAAAAACAAATTTTTTGTGAATGAATTTAGTTTAAGAAAATATTTAGATATATTCCAGATTGTTTATTTGAGGAAATCAGGTATCGAGAAAATTTTTTATTAGACTTGATTGATCGCAAATTTACAATAGAGTAGAAACACAACCATCTGTTCTTTATGCACTAGAACCTTCTGGACATGGAAAGATGCCCTGGGATATTATTGCATGAAGAGTTACAAAGTGTCGCACATAAAAATTATTATTATTTAATTAGCTGTTATTTGATTTACTAATAGATAAATTTCAACATTTAATTCTGTCTTTCTTTTTTTAGATAAATTTAAAATAAGACAAGATGAATTAGGCGAATTAAAAAAAATAATGGAAGTTAAAATTTGAAAATGTTCTTGGTTTAGGCCTAATTGATAACAATCTTAAATATAAAAGATAAATTTGCTTCTGATAAAATAAAGCAGTGATAATTAATTTAAAAATAGATTTATAAACTTAGACTTAGAGTTTTTTAGATCAGTTCATAGCCTAATTAACCAAAAAGTACATTTGTAATTAATTTTAAGGTAAATATCCAAATTAAAATTAAAAAAAGAAGATTTAACAAAATCCTCTTGATGCCATTGTTAAAATGTTAATTTATTATGATAATGACTGAAAACCCACTAACAACATCGTCTAATATTCAAAAATCTTAACAAATGTAATGTTACTCGGTAAATGGTAAATTGTTATTGTATTATTATTTATTATGTAAACATATTATAATTATTTATATATCACTTCATTAAATCTATTTCTTATTTTTATTTAATTGTACTTCTGAGAATTTTCAATTTATAATTTGTGATTTTATTTTTTTGGATAATCTAATGTTTGTTAAGGATAAAATTTTTATTGCTTTAAACCATACTTATTTTTTACTTAATCTAAATTATCAAGTTAAAAAGTTTTTAAATTTGAGTGGTTCTTAGCTATATTTTTGTTATCCTAACTTTTTATGAAAGCCAAAATTGCTCAAAGATTGAATTTGAACAAGTTAAATTTTTTTGAGATTCACTATTATTTTTTTGGAAATTACATGATAATAAAAATGATAATACTTTTTAGCTTATTCAAAATTTTTTCTCAAAGATTTGTTGTTGAGGCCTTTTTCTTACATCAATATTTATCAATTTTAGTTCATCTCGCCTAATGTCGACAAACTAATTGATTAAAATTTTAGATTTCGAAGCTGGAGTATTTTCAAAATATGAAATTAACAAGTATTTGAGAATTAAAAAAACAATACTAAGTACCAATATTAAAAAAAATGGTTTATTTAAATAACTTAATTTTTTTTATCTTTTAATTTTTATGAGGGTAGTTTAAATGCTCCATTCCTAGAAATTACAGTACCGAAATCTACCTATCCAATTTCCAAATAGCTCTATAATGTTGTTTCTGACTGTTATTACACATTAATGATCCTGTATAAGAAGTGGATTAGTAGTAGAATAAGGTCCGAATCAGGAGAAAAGGACTCTATACATATCCTAAATTGCAAACTTTTAGGGATACTCTGACAAATATTATAAAATTCTTAAAAGTTCATATCATACTAGTTTAAGAAGCTGAGCCATTCAAGATATTGAATACATGATACCAATTAATTAGAATCTAGGAGATTCTATAGAGAGCATCCAAGGCATTGTTCTTATCTACCGAATTCTAGAAATTTTATAATTAGAGAAGCCACTCTAGAGATCTAAAATCTTTATATAATCTAATGAAGAAAGAAAATTTTGTCCTTTCATTAGAATACAAGGATTATAAGAAGACTTTAGTTGTTACATTTTCTTAATGAGATTTATTCTTTAAACAAAATACACCCAGCACCTGCCTTAGGTTAATTTCGGCCTATATGGTCCTCGGCCCTATTTTCAATCTTTTTTGAATCACGTTTGGTAGGAACTTTTCAAACTATTTGAAGTGAAAAGACAAATACTGCCTAAATTGGGTTTGTATAATAGCTTCGATGTAGCTAAAATTTTGATGCTCACATTAAAGAACTTAAACACTCAAAGGCTAAGAAATACAAAGTATTTGTCTTCTTAGACTTAGGGTTAATAGAAAAAATCATTAGATATAACAAGAATTGATAAGAGTTATAAATATCTCTTTATTCACGATGGATTTATGCAAAGTTATACATATATATGACCAATCGGAGAAAAATATGATATACTTCTAGAATGGTGATCAGTAAGGTTCCCTATCAGCTCCAATATTTGCTATTTACTTCAATTACATAATAGATGCTGGTTAGAAAGGTCAGTAAAAAAAAATGTATTAAAGTATAAATAGTTTATTTTATTAAAGAATTGTTCAGATTATAGATTTAAAGAAATTTAGGTTAAAAATGCAATATATCCTTTTTTTAACACACTTTTGCAGAAAAATAATATATATATAATTTAGATACATCTAATATTATAGTTTACCCAGACTTCAATTTTTCAAGGTTTAAGAGAGTTTTTTATAAAAAACCGTTTCCTTTTAGGAGAATTATAGGAGTAGCACTTGATTAATTTAAAAACTAACCTATATTAACCCTTAATTTAACTCTATTTTAATATACTTCTTGTGTCCAATATTTGTTGATAGAGTTCTATTTTATAGTTTTTTTCTTTTTTAACAATCTTGAAGCATTACTAAAATGGAAATTAATTTAGCACATTTAAAAATTACAATAATAATTATTAGTTGCATGAATGCAATAATATCTTAATTCTTTGTATACTGTTTTTTTGGTATTATTCTTATCATAACCAAGCATTTTCTATCAATTTATATTTCGAATGTGAATTGTATAAGATTTATAAAGTATATTCTACAACTAAATCTTTCAGCATTTATCATTTCTAAGTTTTCTAATCTTCTTATTTCTTGAGAGTGAATATATCTTATTCACAAAATAATATATTCTCAACTCATATTTAATTAACAGTAATAC